TTCCAGGAACGCTTTTCCATGTTATCTAAAAATATTTAGTCTCCTTCATCAGAGAAAGGGTTTATCCAGGAGATGTTTTAGTGTCTTTTCTCAATCTATCACTAATTAAGAATTTCTATTCAGGTAAGTGCAGACTTTCATCAGACTAGTATCTTTGATTCAGGAAGTCAGAAATGTTACGTAAACATTTTTTTCTTTGGATCCATGAAATATTATGTCTCCCCTAGGACTGATATATGTCACAAATAGAATTCAGAAAAGGAATAAAGTGACATTCATATATTCATCAATAAATATCTATTTATTTTCTAATTTTTTTCTTTTATTGAGCTTATTGGTACATTTTAGGGGTACAGTACAGTTACATTCATTTTTGGGATCTTGTACCTTTACATGACAGGTCTTGGTTCTCATTTTTCCCCCTTGTCCCTGCCCTCCCTTCACCCCCTCCTCCCTTCCCTATTTACAAACACTTTATTTCCATTTTTTCATTTTCTCATATTTTTCCCTTATTACCTTTCCCCTACCCTTCCCACTTTCCCTACACCTTTAGCCCTTTTCTTCCCATTTCACAATGTCAGTTATCTCATTAGGATCTTATGTACTATTACAGTGTATTCACACCAGAGATACTATTCGGTATTTACACGTGTGACTTATTTATTTCACTTGGGAGTATATCCTCAATATGTTATTGAAGATCTCCAGGGCTGGGGATTTAGCTCAGTGATTCTGGTGCCTGCCTTGCAAGCGCAAGGACTGGAGTTCGATACCCAGTACCAAAAAAAATAAAATTAAAAAAAATATATATATATGTATTATATATCTCCTACTGCTCTAAATGATGTGAAAGACAGAGGAGGCTCTAAAGATAAATAAGACATGGGCCGTGGCCTCAAGTAATCACACAGTGTTTAGGGTACCAGACTTAGCAAAGTAAATAATTATGGTGTAGGATAGTGACTCATGATGCAAGTGGGGATAAAAGTAAATCTAACATATTTCATCAGAGGAAGTGACCAGCCTCAAAATTTGTACATCAGTAATATTCTTTCTATTATCTTTAATCTCAGTGCACCGTGCATAGTAAGTCTTTCTATGGGAGACAATGTAAGTATAATAGAAATCGCTATTGAAGGATCTGTAATAGAAACTACTCAAATTGTGTTATTTCTCTGGTCCTGAGGTCATTAAGCTTCAGTAATCCTCATCCATATGCTACCTGGGGTCTTACGGATGGATGGACCCTTCCAGATGGGGCTATTAGGCCACCTGGGCCTGGGTATTACAGCTTGAAAAGCAGGTTTCCAACCATTAGCTTTATGTTTTGTTTGTTTGGTTGTTGTTTGAGATGAGATCTCACTACTTAGCCCAATCTGGCCTTGAATCCAAAATCTTCTTGCCTCAGCCTCTCAAGTGCTAGGACTGTAGGCATGGGCCAATGTGCCTCTCCATTACTTGTTGTTGTTGTTGTTTTCTATCTTCTGGTTCTGGGGATTGAACTCAGACCCTTCCTCTTGCGAGGCAGGTGGCAGAACCACTTAGTGAATGCCCCAGCCCTCCATTACTTGATAATCATTACCCACCAGCCACTGTGGAAAGTGCAGCCAGGACGCCAGAGCTCTAATTCTGCTCCGCTTATCTGCTGTGAAATGAGGGCTCTGGTGACTAGATTCTCGTCAAGTTCTTTGTACAGCTGGATGGGTAAGGCAACTTTTTTTTAATCATCATTTTCAAGATAGGGAAACTAAATTCAGGAACCTTAAGGAACCTGTCCGAAACCCAAGGTAATAATTAATATCCAGTACTTGAGATTAGACACCAAAGCTACAAGGATAAAGCATATTCTTCGATGTCATAGTCAGAATCACACCTTTGTGATAAGCATATACAGGCAGGCCCATACAGCATTATGTAAGTTTTAAAATTATAAATCAAGATAAGAAACTGTGAAAATATGCTCTATCCCTTCACCTTCAGAAATACCTGTCCACAAGGACCTGCACAACCAAGATATGAATCAGGAATTCTTGGACTGTCCCTAACGCAAGTCTAGACTTTCTAAGGGAAGATAAAACTGACCTTAACTGACACTTCTTGCTGCTCTGAAGCACCTAAGAGTGCACACCCCAATAAAAAGCCATTTCTTGAAGGCTGAATTCAGTCCCACATACACCCATAAAGCGAGCTTGGTACCATGTGGGCTGAGCTTTCCAGAGTTCAGAGTACCTGGAATCCTGTCTAGAAGATAACTCGGCATCTAGAGGGTCATTACCTTGGCTCCATGGGAAAGGGTACTGCCAGAGGAGAGCCACCAGCTGGAGGTAGGCAAAGTTTTCTCTTGCTTAGGTCTAAGAATCTGTCTGCTCATACTGCCTCTAGGTTCTGCCTAAGAAAAAGTAAAAACTGAGAATTTTCTTGTAAACGGGTCTGATCAGTTACTATTGAGACCAGGCTCTGGAGCCAAACACTTGGTAGGAATCTAAGCTTTTGTCACTTACCAGCTGTGGAATCTCCAGCAAGTTACTGTACAATTTAGGGCTTCAGCTTCCTATCTGTAAAATGAGTATAATAATAATTGGTAGATACTAAACGCTGGGTAAGGGTTGGTGAGTCTATCCAGCTACATTACAAAAGAATGTGTCTCCAAGAGACTTTCCTGGAGAATTACATAAGCGTGTTGATATCCAAACACTCCCAAAGTCAAGGTGAAAGCCCTCGCTGCACTAAGCGCAGGGGTGAGAATCCCCTAAGGCAGAGGCTTCGGCCCGAGGCCTGGGTCACTTCCCGTAGAGGAGGCCGTCAGGGGTTTGCAGGATAACTCGAAAACGTGGCCATGAGTCATGGTAAGACTAGGAAGTGAAACCAAGTGTCAGCACACCGACTTGTTCCTCCCTCGGACGTGGACGGAGGGCTGAGGCTCCGGTTATAAAGGGAAGGTTACGGAGCCAGGTTGCCTGCCGCTCAGATCCCTCCCCACCCACTGGGGGCTCACGATGCCGGCGCCGTCCCTAGACAGGTCTTGACGTCTCTCCGGGTGGGGAACCGGGAGACTCGGAACAAGTCGGGGCAGCTCCCTCGCGCCTCCGCCAATGCGAGCCAAATCCAGCCGCTACCCACCCGCCCAGTACGGTAGACGTTTCCCGAGAGGCAAGCCTGGACATTCCCCCGCACTTCTGCAGGTGAAACGAGTTCCAAGTGGCTCCTTTCTCATCTAGTGCCCTCCCCTCCTTGCAAAACACCGTGGAAACGGTTTCTTGCACACCAAGAACTGTAATCAGCCTTAGCTGCTCCCTTTAGGGGACAGTCGTGACTGGGCACCGAGAAGTCAGACACGCTGTAAAGCACCAATAAAGAACTATATTTAGTTCTGAGCTCTCCGCCTAAATTCTTCTTTTTTCACTCTTAGCTTCAAAACGACTGGGTTGGGGAAGTGGGAGGAAGGGGGTGGGGAGGCAGCGGAGAAAGAACAGCTGTGCCTCTGCCTCCCAACTCAATCTCTATAAATAACCAATCGCTAGCGGAGGCTACTTTTCAACCAATGAAGCAGCCCAAACTGCTAAAACCTTGGCCGCAGCCAATGGCAAGGCACTTGGGGGTGTGAGACTCGCGCCCTGGGACCAATGGGTTCAGAGTCTGGGAGAGGTAATTTGAGACTGAGTGTGGGTGTGTGGTGCAAAAGCTTCCTACTTCCAAGCCCGAAAAGCTGCGCGGCCGTTTGAGCACGCCCTGTCAGCGGGCACCCTGAGACTCCGGGATTGGGAAGCTGTCCGCTTCTCCGGGTTTTGGCCAGAGCCTCCTGGGAAGGAAGGGTGGACCGGTCGGGGCCGACCGGGAAGCGACTGGGGTACCCAGGGTCCCTACATCCCTACTCGGGACAGTGTCACACGCGGAGTCCCTCCGGTTTTCTTTGTCCCGGGGATACAGAGCAGGAAGAACTGGCCAGCTGGGGCAGAGCACCGCTTCCGAGGCGGCGAGCGCCCTTGAGCTCTGCGGCCCGCAGACACACACCGGCCCAGGTCCCGGGCAGGCGTCCACGCCTTTGCAGACGGAGCTGGCCCGAGCGCGGCCCGTTCTGTCCCGCGCAGCCGCGGGAGAAGGCAGATGCTGCCCAACTCCTTGCGCACACACGGTCCCTCATCCAGACCTAGGCTCGCCCCACGCCTAAAGCGCTCCTCTGGACTCAAATCGGGAGCTCTGCCCACCGTCACGCCCCCGCCCGACCCAGCAGAAAACCAGGAGCGGAAGTTCGGGCGG